TGCTGACTGGAAAAGGCCAGCTGATTTGGCTCACAGGTCACCAACAGCATGTTTGAAGTCTCTGTGCAAACAATACACCCACAGGACTGTCCAAGGCTCTGTATGGAGAGGAACCAGCAATTACTGTGTGGGCTTCTGTCCCTTTGATCTCTGTGTCATGACCTTTGCTTTCTTGTGATCATCAAAGCCAAGATTGCAGATTAGCTGGGGAATGCTAGCTGGGTTATATAAGCCACAGGTTTTACAGCTCCCATTTAGTGGGAAACAGCCATGGGTGGTAGCCCAAGGTGGCCCCAGAGGCCACCGGAGGGTCCCTCCCACCTTTCTTTTGGTGGGGTGCTACAGACAGTGGGCAGGCCTCGGGGCTGCTGCCTACCAGGGAAAAAGAAAAGGCATGTATTTTAAATAATTTAAAGTTTTAAGGAATATAGAGAGACCCACTTGGGGGTGTTTGTGTCCCTGAAGGAACAGAAATTGGAAGAAAATGCATACCAGAGAGTGATGCAAAAGAATAGCCCCAAGCCTGAGAGCCCAGATTTCTTATTTGAAAGGTGACATTCAGCATTTAGTCTCTGTTGACTTTCAGCCATCAATCTTCCCGATGAAAAAGAAAAAAAAGTCAAGAAAGTGATACCATCTAGGGGTCTTGATGGGGTTTGTTTTCTCTGCCAGGTAAAGAATTAGAAGGCAGGAAATACCTGGAGCGAGACAGAGAGAGGCAGAGGAATCTTACACACAGCGAGCAGGAGCAGACAGAAGGAGCACTGGGAGATAGACTTTTATCAGGGTGAAGAGACATAAATACAGCAGCACACTGGGAAAAAGACAGGGCAGAGGAACTCAGGAGACAGCCTAGGATCTCCTTGAGGACTCACGGTTTTAAGGGTCTGTGAAGGGGGTCATTCTCACCAAGTTCCCGGTTGGTTGGTTTGAACAAAGGCAGGAAGGTTGATAGGTTCATACCTTAGGGGTGAGCATATCCTGACAAAGCTTGAATTTGCCCATAGGCTAAGAGCCATGTGGTGGGATAAAAGTCTTTGTTTGTAAGCTGACAGACTTTTCTCCGAGGTCAGGAGTATGAGGAAGAAGCTGGCCATCTTGGAATTTCACTGTTGATTATCATCTGGTCATGGCGCACTCTCTGTCTGTCTACAGGGAAATCTGTCCATCTCCTAGCCCCTTGAAGAATGACCAGAAAAGACAAACTATTCTGAGCTCCAGGTCTCCCACCCCTGACTTATTATTTTGATTTTTGATGGTATCAAAATCTGCAAGAAGCCTAAGTTCATGTCCATTCAACACTCACCCCATAATGGCAGCACTGTGTCAACACAGGGAAATATAAGTGACTTTAAAGTCCTGTGATAAGGTGACCATCGCCATGTCTCTGCCATAAGCAGTGGCAAAAGGCAAAGGGAACCCCAGACATGGTTATACTCCTACCCCAGGAAGCCCAGGGCTCTGTCCAAGCACACAGTAGTATGTCTGTGTTCACAGAGGAATGTGAGCCTGTTTTGTTGTCGGAATACATGACAAGAAAAGCCAAATGGCCACACAGAGGTTAAGAGGAAACCAAAAGGGTGGGCACTGGGGCGTGGGGAGGAAAAGATGGAAGAGACAGCACAAGATACAGAAATCTAGTCACTTCCCACCCCAGGTCTGGTTCTTGGCCACAACACAAACAAAAACTGAACCAACATCTTTGAAATCAACATCTCCCCTGAGAATGAAGCAAGGCATACTTGTTTTGATGGACGGCTGGGTGACATAAATATTACAGCACATGACCACAGAGGATGCCAATCAATTGGAAAATTTTTTCAACAGTTCTAAACGAGCCACAGGTTCTTGCTTCTGAGTGCACTCCTTTAAGGCTCCCTCTACTGCTTGCATGATTAATAGAAGAAGCATTGTCAGAAAACATACTTAAAGCGAAAACCAGTAAACTGTAGAAACATCACTCACTGTTAAGTCATTTCCTAGCAAAAAGGTCGTATAAATTCACACAGGGACTCCACTAGGATGATCTCGGGAATGGCAGAAAGAAGGTGGACCTCACACTTGGTGGATGGCGGGCAGGAAAAGTGTTTACCCAACTTGGGGAAGGTAGCCACACCGCTTTGTATAAATGCATATGCCACAGGAACTCTGATTTCGAAAGTCATATTGGGAAACCCTACAGTTTCTCGGGGGTAAATGAATCACCTCCTAGGCTAAGGAAAGTGGGGCTGCCAAAAGACCACAGAGCTGAGCTGCATCTGGCCTGCACCCCCTTCTTCCAAATGCAGGGCTGACAACTTATCAAGCCAACAATAAAAAAAATGGATAAAATATTTAAGCACATTAGAGGACCGACCTAGCATTTCCCCCTCACGATGCAGTGAAGGTGTAACTGGGTAGGAGAGCATTGCTGTCTCTATGGTTCCTGGTTGCTGCCTTTTCTTCAAATGTGAGGAGCCAGCAGTCACTGTGTAGATGACTTATGGGGTTTCAAAGGCAATTGTGGCTAGATGTGATTTGGGCTGTGTGCAAGCTCTAGAATCCAGTCCCTCCGGGCAACACTGTCATAAATACACTAACAAACAGCCTTCCCGGCTCCATCTCTCACGTCCTGACAGCAACACAGACCTGGGGTGGGAGGACATGCTTAGGAGACCGCCCAGGTGAATCCCTAAGAAGGATTGCTCTTACAGAAAGAAAACCTCTGCAAAAGCTGTGCCGAATGACTGAGACTTGAGTGAGTCTGGATGAGAGCGGTGGCTTGCTAACTGATCTGGTACCAAAAGGGCAGTGGACCGCATGGGACTCAAAGATCCCCGTGACAACCTAGAAATACACAGTTCTAAGCAGAGCAAGTAATTCCAAACATCTCCAGTATAGTCCCCAGCCAGTTGTCCATGTTAAATATGACTTTAGGTTTGTACTGGGCTTCAGAAGACAAGGACCTCCGCCTTGCTCCCTGAGAACTGTTCTCTCAATGTGGGCAAGCCTACAGCAGTGATAGGGATGTGTATGTGGGTGCGCAGCATGGTGAGACGGTAAACCCAACGTGGATTTGCTGCAGGAAGATTCACAGACTCTGGGCTGACACAGAGTCATTAAGAACCTCTGACCTAGACAGTCACCCCAGCTTTAGAGGTCTTTCTGTCAAAATGGAACTCCATATTAGGCTTTCTATTCTCACTGCTTGTATGGTGGAGCTTAGTATTCTTTGTCAACCTGACCAGTTCCAAAATCAACAATGAAGAATTTGCTCCTCTCCTCATTTATACCCCTCAAAGCCCTATATCTGAGACCAAACAGAACAAGGCAGAAACAGAAAATTCCTCCCACTTGCTCTCCCCCTTCTAAGAAAAGAAAACAACTTCTCTATGCTTGTATTCACATACTATGTTTGGTTGCATGAATAAATAAATGAATATATATGTGAATGTGAGTATACACACATAGATGTAGATAATACACATGCACATTTATATATATGCAATATATATATATAATGAATGCACATTTATATATGCAATATATATATATGTATATATATATATATATAATGAATGGAGCAAAAACATAAAGAAAAACATCAGAAAGTAAAGAAGAACTTTTCAAACAATGGTTTATGAAACATACTTATTAGATAAACTATTTTGGATTTGACCTTCCAAGATACATTTTAAAATTTCCTCCAAGATATGGAAGAAATCTAGGTACCTACTAAAAGATGAAAGGATAAAGAATATATATTTACAGACAACAGAGAATTTAGCCATAGTGAAGAACAAAATCATGTTGTCTGCAAGAAAATGTATAGAACTAAAGGGCATTACATAGATTAAAGAATTCTCATGTGCTTTATCTTACATGTGGAATCTAGGATTAAATAAAACAACAAAAATACAGTCTCAAGTAGTGGTGATACCACAGCAGAAAGGAAAGTGGACAGGAGGGAGCCAGGAGATGCTCGGTACAAAGAAAGTCATTAGAGTCTGATACTATTAAAGAACAGTAGATATATAGTATATATGAAAATATAACAAAGAATCTCATTAATGTGACAATTAATATGTACTGAGAATTATAGTAAAAAGACCAATGCAATTCTAATAAACGGTGGTAAAAGAAGGTACTGTGTTTAAAGTGACCCCTTCACACATCTTGTATCAGACAACTTCATGATTAAAAGTTGAAAACAAAGTTATAGAAATCAATTAAACTTCTAAGCAATTAAACAACTCATAGTGAGAAATGAGCAATGTGTTCTGGCCAGATGGCAACTGGATTTCTCCTATCAAAAGTCACACTCAAATCTAGAATAGCATACCATGGTTGGAAATTTCTCTAGTGGAGAAAGACCTTCAAGAACAATTTTTCTTTCAAGCAGGGTTCTTATTTGTTCTGAGTCAGTATAAGAATACAAATAAAGGTCTACAAAATTAATCATGAAACTTTGAAATGAACTAAAGTAAAAAGTTCTTCTTTACAGAAGTGCACCTGAATCCCCACTTTACGTTACTTATGTCTCTGGGTTGGGCTTTTTCTTCCTTTTTTAAAATTCTTTTTCCAAATCCATAATGACTTTCAGTGTTACAATTTTGCCCTGATACACAATGATTATTCCTGCTATATTTCTTTGTAGGTCACCAGATTTTTACATAAAGCACAGTAGGACAAGTCCTTCTCAAACTATTGTCCTCTGTTCCCAACCTTTCTGGGCTGTTTCCCGAGAGCTTGTAACTTGTAAAACCTAAAATGCATATGAACTAGCCCATGAGAACGATTTCTCAGTCCCTGATCTCAGCTCCCATAAACCCAACAAAGAAAGAAAATGACTCTGTCCTTGAAAGACAACAGTTTAACACAATCTCCGGATGTCCGTGGGTACTTACAAACATTAACACAATCTCCGGATGTCCGTGGGTACTTACAAACATTGACTCTGCAGCCCACACTATCAGTGCCCAGAGGCTCCTGTTCCCTTCTGCCACTATATGAGCACTCACCTGTATCTCTTATAGTCTTCCTCATCCTTCTCCAAACTGACCAGCTCATTGGGACATGCCACATTTCCCAGCAGGCTGAGGTACTCCAGGGCTGGTGTTGCTTTAGCCAGTTGATCGAGGAGGTGCTCCAAATCGGTAATGTGCCAAAGGTTAAGGATCATGTTCGGGGGGAGGGGGGAAACAAAAGGCTTAGCAGGAAGTAGGAGGCATATGTGACAGGCTAGGCTATGGGAGTCAGTCTCCTATCACTATGACAAAAACAGGGCAATTAAGAAGAGCTCACAGTGTCTGAGGTTCCACCACCTTCCAGAAGCATCACTTTGCAGGCTACACCTTTGTGGAGCATTGTGAACTCTTATAATATAAAGCGCCCATCTAAATCATAGCACAAATATGTTTCAACTCCTAAAAACAAAAATCAGTTTTCAGTCAATCATGCTAAAAGATGGAATTGTCATTCTAGCTCTCTATAGAAAACATCTCAAATATCATTATGTTATGAAACTATAAAGAAATTTGTAAGAAACAAGGTTTTGAAATGGGCATATCTAGTATAAAAAGATTTCTGTCCTTTCTAGTTAATTTAACATTTTTGATACTTGTCAACTTAATTTTTTAAATTTGCTTTGATATATTTTCATTCCAACTGAATATTGTTTTTATTCTCATACTTGTTCTCCGTATTATCTTAGTTTTGCATTGTTAAGGATCCAACTCAGGGCCTTGCCATGGCATACAGGTGTTCTGACACTGGGCTGTTCCTCTAGTCCATTAACAGCCTTCTCATGCATAATTTTATGTTATATAACCTTTGTTTTGTTGAGAGGGATCATTTTTGCTATCTAAGCTCTACACTCTAGAAAAACTGCATCTTTCCTTGGCTGGAAGACCTAGAAGGGCAGATCCCTTTTAATGTCCTGATCATGGACAATCTGGACAAAAGCATCTTCAGACTCTAAGGTGCTTCAGCTCTCCCTGCCAACGAACCCGGTGCATCTCTAGGAGTCTCTTTCACACGGGTCATGTGGTATGGTGGAAATTCCTCTGTTCTAAACCTTCCCAGCACCCTACTAAATTACAAATCAGGGTGCGCAAGCAGTTACCCACAACCACAGCACCGCCTGCAGTATGTTCTGCACCAGCCCTCCATCTTTCTTGATTCCTCCACCAGAGGAGGAGTCAGTTTTCATTGACTCCTCCTTCTCCTGGGTTAACAAGAACAAACATAGCTCCATCCTGCCTGATTGTGAGCTGAGATGGACCTTCTTAAGTCAGTTGTAAAATTAAAACAAGACAATGAGTGGCAGAAACTCTAGGGTGTCCAGCTAACCAAGACCATGGCAATGAAATGACCTGGGAGGTGCTTGGAAGGGCAGCATTGCTTCAAGCTTCCTGGTACTATGACAACTCTCCCTAGCTGGACTCTCGGAACAACTTTGGTTTCCCTCATCAAGGCTTCTCCAAAGGACTGGCATTCAGGAAAATTTGTTTTGCTGGTATCTACAGTAAGTTGTCATTGTAGAGTCCAGCTGTTGTGGCAAGGCTTGGCAGGAGTGGTTCTATATGGAGAGGTCAAGACCATGGTGGTGTCTTCCTTACAAACTTCGAGATGATGGGAAGTGAGGAGCCTCCTGGCTGGCATGCAGGTCCCATTGCACAGGAGCCAGAGTGATTTCCCAGCTGAGACTAGAACTTCCTCACCTTTGGACTCATCTCCAGGTCAAGGGAAAGGTCTTACAACCACTGGGGAATGTTAACCATGGTAAATCCTAATGTCAGACCTTTGAAGGCTAAGCACATAGTATAATGATTTATTTGCACCCCTGCATGCATATATGTATCTGAAATATTATCATGCCAAAACAAAATCTAAGAAAAATGAGGTTAAGAGTCACACAGCCAGTAAATGAAAGAGACTATATTCAAGTGTCAGTCATTCCTAGGAAGAAAAATTACTCAATTTCTAGCACAAAGGGTGAAATCAAAAGACTGAGGAATGAAGAGTTTAGTATGTTTTGGGGGAAGATCATACATCGCCATCCAGTTCTGCTATCTGTCTCAAATATTTCAGTTTAGGCTTGTGTTTTCAAAGCACTGTGGTTTTATCTTAATGTGCCAAGAAATTTGAGTTAGATGCACCAGGAAGCAACAAACATCTGTGGGTGTTAACAGAGTGGCTTCCCATAGATCATCCTGCTTCTGCTACTCACGGACACTTGAAAGTATGTATGTATTTATAAGAAACCAAGGGCCCTGAAAAAGAAAACATGCTTTCTCAAGATGATAAGAACCTGCTGTTAAAAGAGAGATTCAGGGGCTAGAGAAACGGCATGCTACTCTTGTAAGAGATGGGAGTTCAGTTCCCAGCACAGACTTCTGGTGACTGGTGGCTCACACTCACCCATAATTCCAGCTTCAGGTGACCTAAGACTCTTTGCTGCCCTGCATTGGCACCTGCGCTTACATGTACATACCCACACATAGACACACATACCCACACATAGACACACATGCATACCCACACATAGACACACATAGACACAATGCATACCCACACATAGACACACATGCATACCCACACATAGACACACATGCATACCCACACATAGACACACATGCATACCCACACATAGACACACATGCATACCCACACATAGACACACATGCATACCCACACATAGACACACATGCATACCCACACATAGACACACATGCACACCCACACATAGACACACATGCATACCCACACATAGACACACAAACATACCTACACATAGACACATACGCATACACACATAAACACACATACCCACACATACATACCCACACATAGACACATATGCATACTCACACATAGATACACATGCATACCCACACAGACACACATGCATACAGAATATTTTCTAAATGGGAGGTCCAGTTTTGTGACGTAACACACCGGTCTCCTTGCCATATCTCAGCTTCATAACATGGAGCTCTAATCTTTCTTCCTGTTTGCACTATGATTCGAGCTAGTCATCCCTTTAGCAGATGTGCTGACACAAATAGAAAGAAAATGAAGTATACGTTCAAATAAAGCCAGCTTCTCAAAGGGAAGGGCAGGAGAAGATAATTTAATTGTGCAAAGGTTAAACATCTATCCTCTCCCAAATTTTCAGCAGGTTCCCTACTTGGGGCTGAATATTCGGAGATCACATGATGGAGATCAACACAGAAGCTCAAGGCTGCTGGCGGACAAGCCAGGGAGAGATTGTGTGATTGGTGGGTAAGAGAGACTGAGAATACAGGCAGGGGTGGGTGTGGGTATTCTAGTCCATGGCCTCTGTTTAATTACCTAGCCACTCTACAGGGATCCAAGGAGAAGCTGTGCTGGGAATACACAGCAGAAGAGAGAGAGTAAGAGATGACCCGAGATAGCCCAGGAGGACTCTGCACTGAGGACTGAATCCGCATTGAACAAGAGATGATAGAACAAAGGCCGTGGGGGAGGGGAGCAAGAGGACCTATAGAGATGGGGATGGATGCATGCATTGGCGAACTAAAAAGACATTTTCCAGATGCTACACAGTCTGGACCCTGGAATCTCCTCTGTGAGCCAAATTCCAGAAGCCCCAGATGGGAGCAGGGTCTTGCTACATTGGCAGCTGGATCCTCTCACATGGAAGTCCCTCTTCTTGCAAAGGGTTGCTTCTCTTTGGACTTTCAGAATCGAGTGGGGTGGGGGGGGGGATTCAGAGTCAGCCTAAGTGGGGTCTAGATAAAGCCATGCCTGTGGCAATCTATGAATTTTCCAGAAGCTCACAATCTCTGAGTTTTCAAAACAAACAAACAAACAAACAAACAACAGCAAAGAGATTATTTGTCAGTAATTCCCAGATCATAGAAAGAGGTTAGAATTACAGTAAAATATAAAAGTCTAAGAAATACATTCTGCCCCTGAAGATGGTGGCTTTAGTCAAATGAGAGTGGTTTCCATGGTTTTGGTAGGATGATGTCATAGTGACTTTTGTCAACTTGACAGGAACTTAGGCATACCAGGGGAGATGGGATCTCAGTGGAGGAATTGACGCCATCAATTGCTAATTGACATCAGGGGTGATACCATCCCTGGGCAGGTGAGCCTGGGCTGGATGAAAAGAGGAGTTGAGAAAGCCAATAAGATGCTTTATCATGAAAATAAAGTAAGATCTCACAGAGAGGAGATGCCAAGGCTGGTGTAGATGTCTACAGAAAAGACCTGTTCTTTATATGCCCACCTGGGTCATATGCACATTTCTTCTGCATTTGCCGTGCGGCTTGCTTTCATATCACGGGTAGGACTTCACAAGCACTTGGGCACCAGGGCCTGGGCCCTAGAATAATCCTTCCAAATACTATGGTGCATACGGCCCATTAAAGACAGGCGGTTGAGCCAATGCCAGCACGGACTGCACACGTAAGAGTGAGGCTATTTTAGACTATCACTGGTTAAAAAAAAATCATGGCTGCCTGAGTGACACAAAATAAGACCATCAGACGGGCCATCCAGCTGAGCTCTGATTCCCATAGGACTGAAGTGCGGAGGACACTTGTTCTGTGCAGTGGATCATTATGCTACATGAGCTAGCTGACAGAGCCTGCATGGGGAGCATCTCATGGGGACAGCACCAGCAATACCCTTGTGTAGGACTGAGGGGTCTTCACGGCACGGAGTTTTAATCTGAAGAGGCAGGCTCAGAGTATTCGGCTAAGAGGAGGACACACACTGTTGTCTGCTTTTTCCCACCTTGCAGACTGTAACTGGATGGGGAAGCTGATTTTTGCCATGCTGCTGGTAGATCGGGAGGAAAGAAATTGCATAGCAACCTGAGCTGGACATAGCAACCTGAGGCAGATAACACTTAGTGGGGTATGTACCTACTGATGATAAGATGCTGCATAAAAGCACAGTTATATAATTGGGTTTTCAGCCAAGCAGTGACTTCCCAGGCTATTCCCTTACTCTCTTAGCATTGCCACTACGGCTCAAGGAAGTTAAGGCACAGAATAGGAAATGGACTTAACAAAAGGCAGTCTCCCAGCGCTCTGGATCCCAAGACCCACCAATCTCAGTGGTGCTGAGAATAAAGCCATCACTTGATCCAGCTTATGTCTTTAAAAATGAGGAAGAGGCTCCTGGAAGATGACTTATACTAGGCCACATGGCTACAAACCCTCTGGATACAACTGGGGCTGAACTTGAATCCAGGTCTCTATCTTGTCCGTTGTTTGACTGCAAGTTTATACTTAACCTCAGTTTCTAAGACTAGATAAATGGAAAACCTGTATACTCCTCATTGGTCCTCATAAGAATGAAAAGTAGGGTGCTTAAAGTCCCCAGCACAGTGCATGGCTTCCATGGTGGTCAGTGAGAACCTAGTGAAAATGAGTGTGTTGTTCATCCCACAAACATCTGTGGAATGCGAACCCTGCCAGGCAAAACTGTGCACAGGAAGGATCCAGAAACACCTACCAGTGGAGCTAGTATCCCAGTACCTGGTTACCCAGAACACTAGAGCTAGAGGGGTGATGGACCCTGTGCTGTTAGAGAAGTCTTCTAGTGTGTCCTCACTATAGAACCCAGGGTGGTTAGCTCCAAATTCTCATGCCAGGATGGGTAGGTACTCAACTACTCAAAGGAGGCCCTAACCTACCATGGCTCTCATAGGCCTGCCACCACGCCTAAGACTGTAACCCTAGGAATGAAGCGCTCTTTCTCCATTCTTGATTTCCAGAACTGTTCCCCAAACTTGCATCAAAACTGTTATGGAATTCTCTCCCCGGCAATTTTGTCTACTTCCCATAGTTAAGAGGACAACTATATGTTTTTCCTTTGGTTCACCTTCTTACTTAGCTTCTTTGGGATCACCAATTGTAGACTCCGTGACCCTTGTTTATGGCTAGAAACCAATTATGAGTGAGTACATCCCATATTCATCTTTTTGGGTCTGGGTTACCTCACTCAGGATAGTGTTTTCTATTTCCATCCATTTGCATGCAAAATTTGAGAAGTCATTGTTTTTTACCGCAGCGTAGTACTCTAATGTGTAGATATTCCACACTTTCTTCATCCATTATTCCACCCACTGAGACAGTGGAGCTGATCTATTGGGAGCTCACCAAGGCCAGCTGGACTGTGACTGAAAAAGCATGTGATAAAACCGGACTCTCTGAGCATGGCGAACAATGAGGGCTGATGAGAAGCCAAGGACAATGGCACGGGGTTTTGAACCTACGTAATGTGCTGGCTTTGTGGTAGCCAGTTTGGATGTTCACCTTCCTAGAAATGGACGGAGGGGGGAGGATCTAGGACTTACCCCAGGGCAGGGAACCCTGACTGCTCTTTGGACTGGAGAGGGAGGGGGAGAGGAGAGGGGGGAAAGGGAAGAAGGATCGGAGAAGGGGGAGAAGGGTGGGAGGAGGGGGAGGGAAATGGGAGGCTGGGAGGAGGTGGAAACTTGTTTTTTTTTTTTTCTCCTTTTCTCAATAAAAAAAATGTTTAAAAAAAAACTGTTATGGAAGCCTAAAGGACTAAGTAAGATTAGTGGCATTACCCATGCCTGGCCACCAGAGGTCGCCCTCCCACACAAGCCCAGGCAAACAGAAGCCGCTTTTCCTCCCAGGCACCCGTGACATTATTTTCTTTCTCTATTTTATCTATTAAAAAGATTTCCTCGCAGCCATAACTTAGATCTCTACACTAAAATGGAGCAACAGGAAGATATAACGGTGCATTTCATTTATGAATGACCTATAATAAATTACTCTGAAGTGTCTTGAGCACCAGAAGACAGAACGCTTTGTCTGCCCACCGACTGTATTTCACATACTTTAATTTAGCTGACACATAAAACTCATTTGACATTTTGCAGGTATTTTTGCGGAGAAGGGTTTGGGGATGGCAGAACGGGACCCCTTTGGGGCTGGACTGCCATGGGGTACTGCAGGGACCTGGCATGCTGGGTGCCAAAAAGGATATTTGGTTCTTGTTGAGGGTTAAGGTGTGCAAGTGGGGTAACCGTGGCAACACGAGGTCGTCACCGAGTAGATTGTTGTCTAAGATGAGTTCCTCCAGGCTTCTGAATGCGCTCAGTCCTTCCAGTGACCTGCAATGACAAAGGCAAGGGGGAAAACGATCCTGCAGTAAATCAGAGAGGCCATTATGAGCTGAAATAAATATTTTAACCTTCCCTTTCAGAACTGGGAATAGTTTGGGCTTGGTGCCTGTCAGCGGAGTGAATGACAAGAATTAGTAGCAGGGAGCCGGGGTGGGGGTGGAGGGGGAGAAGGGGGCCCCCGCTGGCACTCACTGCATCCTTCACGAATTGCCAACATGAAGGATGAGGGTCACTTATTGAGAAGCCAGGATCCAAAACAAAGGGCTTCAGATACGGCCTGCAGGATAAATTTGTCAATGTCTTGTGCCTTCAGGCACCCAGCCTGGGCTGACCCTAACCTCCATTCCCAAGATAAATAACTCTGTCACAGTTCACCTTCATTCCCTGGACACAAATTTAAGCTGTCATCCATCATTCCTGCCTAGAAATCTCATACCCCTCTTACAATAATAAATATAACTTCAAGTATCGTTTCTTCGCAGTTCTCCTCTGTCGGGGAAGCAGCCAGGAAGGGGCTTTTCTCTCCCTCGCATCCTTGCATCCCTAGGCTCCTTTTTCCCCTTCTCCATTTTTTTTAAAAAAACTAATCACTGAATTTGCTCCTGCCTAGCATCCCATGGCTGCCTGACAGGGAGGAATTACATAATCACTCCAGGCCAACAGAAAGCTTTTTCTTCTTTCAGGATTTCTTTTTACTTGGTCTTGGTTTTGTGTGAGGACAGAAGCCTGGGGGAACTCCTGCTTCAAAGCCCAGGGTCTCAACTTCTACTTTACGGAACGTGGACTTGTTATCTCTTTAAGCATGGAATATAGCAATGTAGATTTTCAGGCAGTAAATAAAAAGGATTAGGCATCAGGTTCAAAGACAAAAATGCTGTGACCGAAAGGGAAGGTGGACCTGTTTACCTGCGTAGTCTGACATGAGCTCTTCACTAAGGGACGCCTGTGATGTCTGGGGTGGTGCACAGTACGGGGCAGTTGTGAACAAATGCTTGCCCAGGCACACACAAATGTTAATTAAAGCGAGCTGAAAGTCCCAGGGCTCGCACAGACTCCCAGCTTCTTCACCTGCCAGGCCCAGGAGATGTGCTGAGTTTGCACCAGCAGAGCCGGCAGAGCCATGGAGTCCGAGAAGGGAAGACCCGACACACATTCAGTCCCTGGCTACTCTATAAAGTACAGCAGATCAGGGTGGCACCAGTCAGCGCACTGGCTGTTACTAATTGCAGCAATACTAAGACCCTGTCACCTTGAGCGTGTGTGTGCTGGGTGCACCCCAGGCAGCGACATGCAGCATGGGAGCTTTCCCCCAGGTGTCATGGCTCCCTGGTGGGCTTTCTGATAGAAGGCCTACAAAACGAAGGGTGGGGGACTGAGAGTGGGGGTCCTATCCTTGAGATATGTAAGCGAATGCTCATTAAATCCACTGGATCCAGAGCTCATGCCCATCTCCATGTCCTGTGTCTAACAGACCTTCGTGCGGTGCTATCAGCTGCCAGGGCCAACACAAAACCATAAACAGGTGTGTACTTCTGTGTAAGAATTATCCTATTTCATAGGCTTCTGGGAGGCAAAATAACAACAACAAGAAATAAACGAACAGAAATAAAAACCTCCATCCTTTTGAGGGGTTAGGAGTGGGCTATGGGATTGGCTTCGGCTTCTCCGACTGCTTGCGACCTGAACCGGGTACTGAAAGCCTGTCTCCTAGCTCAGCGGATTTCAGGAAGACTAGGGGGACATTTGTGCCAAACTGCCTCATGCTCCCCTCCACTCCAAACACTGACTGTGTTCCCAGTCGGTGCTGCCTCCTCCTGTGGTCCATTGGCTTATCAGAAGCTGTGATCTGAGCTGTGGGGAGGGAGACTGAGAGAGTGGGCCGATCAACAAATCCAGTGTGCAGGGAATTTGTTAGCTTTCTGAAGTCCCTGTCTGTTTGTTGCTCTTGTTGTTACTTTTGTTGTTGTTAGTTTCTTGTTGTTTTTGTTTGTCTGTTTGCATCTGGTTCCCATATATCCTTATGTAGCCAAGGATGACCTTGAACTTCTGACCCTCCTGCTTAGACCAACCCACTATTGGAGTTATGGGCATGTTTCACCAGGTCTGATTGCTGGGTTTCTGGGGATCAGGTACCGAATATAAAATCAAATTCTCTACCAAAAGAGTTATGAGCCCCTTTCTCCATGGGAGTCAGTGAGCCAAGAACATTAACCACAAGGGCTTCAGGGCCAGGTCTCTGTTTGCCACCTGGGGAGTGGAGCTCCACCCCACCCTCCATCAGGAAGCCTTCTGGGCAACTAATAAGTTCTTTGTGCACCAGCATCAGATGGGCTCTGGTCAAAGGCAACATTCAGATACATACTGTTCCAAGTTACGTTATGCAAATATTGTATTTTTATCATGAGATTCAGCAAAGAGCTGACAACAGGCAAGCAGAGAAAAGCTCCCTTCCCAGACTGTTTCTGAGGAAGCGGAAAACAAAATGACACAGCATGAAGAAAGACAACGCCAAGGCCAGTGCACCACAAGGGTACAGGCCCCACCAAGGCAGCCTCTCTCCCCACAACCCAGGCTGTATGAGAGGGAGGGCTCAGCGAAGAGTCCCCCCAAATCTCCTGTCTCTCGTCTGGTTGCCAGATTCCTTCTTCTCCCTGTAATGTCATCGGTGCTCAGTAAAAGGAGAGCTGTTCTGTACAGGAGGGTGGTGATAAATCAAGTCCTGTCCTCATCATTTCTGTTGGCTCTGCCAAGTAGGGGGCTGAGGGACTGGAGGCAGGAGGCTCCCAATGCCATGAAGGAGAGGCACCAGGGAGAGAATTTGCGGCATTCCCACGGCGCATTGGAAGCCAGCAGAAAAGGGTTACTCTTTTGACTTTGAAATTTTTCCTTTGACTTGTTATTGTTGCTTTCCAAAAGAAGTGATCGGGAAGGAGTTTCTTGCAATAATGTTTGTGTTCATATCCTGCATACCAGATTCACCGTTGTAGAAAAATGACAAGGTTAAAAAAAATAGGTTGTCAAAGTCCGGGCACAGTACTTGCTTTCCTGGGATGATACTGGTAGCTTACAGGGAAGATGGTAATGTGGTCTAAGCTAACATGCAGACTGCAAAATGCACCCTCCAAAGTGAGAGAGAGAGACTCATGGATAGTTGATGTCACCGCAGGGTGATTCCCTGCGTGGAAGCTGCAGTGCCTGAGAGGTGTGGGCTGGAAGCCGGAGGGAGTCACGGAGTTCTTACTCCACTGGGAGAAACTAGTAGAGAGTATGGAGGCACCCCACTCAGGGCGTGGGGACCCAGGTGGGACCACTCCAGGGCAGGGGGTTTGTTCTGCAAAGCTCATCAGAACCTCCAGATCAGGATGCAGGCTGCATCCTTCCCTGCACTAGTGGGAAAGCTGCTTTGACCACACCCATAGGTACCATCTTGGCCATCCTGCTCACTAGGCTTTCTCGGGAGCTTGTGGTTGTCTTGGGAAGAGTCCTAGTGCCTTCTCCAAAGTCACATCAATATGACAAAAACATCAAAATGTGTTTGGCTCTAGTGGAGTCAAACAGAGGGAACTTTTAAGTTTCCACTGTAATTAACCCTATCCTCGTTAAGATAATTATGATCAAGCTTCCTGTCACAGTTAATATCCCACTATCATTGCCCGTGGCCCTCACAATGCCCTCATTAGCCTATAGAAACAGTGGCGCTAAAGAGGCAGCTTTGCCTGCTCAGGCTAGACCCACGGCTGGAGGCTGACACAGGGCTGTGGGTATGGCAGCACTTTCCTGATCTCTTCATTACTGAGTGGATGCAAACTCAGCCTCCTCATTCTGTCCTTGGAAACTGGCCCCTTGTGAGGATGGTAATAAGAAGGCCAGGAGCAGAAGGCAGGGAAAGCAGTGTCTGACCTAGACAGTGATGCCCACTCCCCCATCCCCACTGCCCTCAGCCAGCACATAACCAGCAGAACACGACACCATAAAAGTCACCAGAGATCACTTCTGCAAACTCCTGGTGTCTTGTCAGCTTACAGGCTCTGTCAAGGATTAGGTCTCTCTTCTCTCAGCTGCCTGTCTAAACCGGTAGTGACATTTGTGCCTGGCCCAGAAAGGGCAATGCATAGGGGGGACAGCTCGCCATAGATCTATGTGACAAGTACCATTTCTCTGGCTTTATCCTGCACCAGAATCATGATATTCTCAAATCAAGCTGGGAAGCAGCACCTCCACTCACACCTTTACCTGTCCCTACACCACATTCATCTGAACATCCAAACCTACATTGGTGGAGCCAGAGTGGAAAGGCTATGGACATGCCAAGGGCCTAGCCCATATGCCCCAAACCTATCAACCACCCATGTCAACTGCCTTATCTTAAGGACTTGACCTTGTCTTCCCAGAACTCATTCTGCCCAGCACCCAGCTAAAGAAGGGATGTCAGTGTGATTTCCACTCCCCTGGATAGCTGTCAGGTTCACAGCGGACTCAGAGCCGACTCAGAGCCAACTCCTGAGCCTATGCGGCTGCTTAGCAAAGAGCTACAAATCTAATAGAGTAACCCAGAGAAGGCCGTGGAGCAGGCAGGAGCTAGTGCGGTGAGCTGCCAGTGACGAGAGGGTAGTCCTTGTGTGGATCCCTGTCTTTAGCAGTGGAGAAGTGTTTGGGGGCAGAAAGAGTAAAGAGCATAGAGCATGTGCAGGTAACTATTCCATGCCTGGGACAAAATAAATTTGAATATCTCCTTACCATCTGGTAGACAGGCTCACCTCTGAGACCCTCCCTATTAGCTGACACTCTCAGACCTGTCCCTCCACTGGCCTTCATAATCTTTATAATTTAGCAGCTAGGTCACTGATACTCAGCAACCACAGCATGAGGCCAACACGGGGCAGCCACAGGCCAGTGTCTGCTCTAATTGGCCAGTGCAGTGGTTAAAGGGTTTAAGTGCTATCTCTGACGGCAGGAATAACAATTTGGTACTGTTTTATTTGCACACC